GATCCTTCCTTTATATATATATATATATATATATATATTTGAGGATAAAATTTAGCCACTGTAACTGCAGTACAACACTTGTAAAAGGCTGTCAACTATCAAGTGCTTTGAGGATTATCCTCATAGAAGCAGCGAGCAACAGTGAAATTTTCGAACACAAAAAAATTAACTGGCAACAATTCAATGTTATAACCAACAGGAAGAATTGTCTTTCTTCTTTTTATTTTCTTTGAGAAAGAGAGAAAATGTGAGACAAGATATCTTAGAAGTTAGAGAGATGATATTATTTTGTAATAAATAATAATGAAGTTATGAGATGGATAAAAAAAACCATCAATTACCCTATGAAGCTTTTATTCTGGAGACAGGATAAGCAGTATTCAAGCACATCATTTATATAGAGAGAAAATTTATCCCCAAATTATTTTGAGCACTTCATCCTGGAAATACGTTCATATTCTGTACTCATTTAAAAAGAAAACAAGGAAGAAGAGCTTAGTGTGATTAACCTCCTTCAGATAAGCCACCATATTTGGCGTTGGTTCATGAAAATCTGCCCCCCTGTAGTCAATCACTTCATTTGGATCTTGAATATAGTTCACAGTTGGGTAAACTGGATCTCCACCCCATACTGCAAGAAAGAGAATTTTTTCAACTACTATTCTGGGTTAAAATATTTAAGTAGAGTGAGCAAAACTATTTGAAAAGTAGACGCCTATGCATAAATTATGATGACATATGGGCAATTAATGAATAGTTTCATAATACTTGGGAGTTACATTAAATAAAGTAACAGGAAATAAATGTATGTCAGGAGTTTCCAGGACAAAATGAAATGTAACAAGCTGAAGACTTCTTCTAGTTATTATTATGAAATTGATATAGAATAATAAAAGAAAGTAAAAGAAAAACAGATGATCAGTAAGTTGATATAATAACAAATGGAAGTCAATATATCCTTTTTTTCTTTCCTAAATACATTCAGAAACTAGGTCCAAATAACAGCACAATAATATTTATAAATACAGACTATAATTGTTTCCTTGGAAAAAAGTTACAATTAAATTAAATTAAATATTAGAAGAAAGTAGTGTTGATTCTCAACTATGTAACTATTCACACCTAGTGGATTTTCATGTTTTTTTTGGGGCCCTTGTCTGACAGTATAAACTAAAAAGTTTAGGTTGAGTGGTTCTTTAATAAACAATGCTAATAAAGTGGAATAAATTTAGAATCATAAAAAATAAGAGCAATATGATGTGAGATAACTAAAAAGTTAAATAAGATACAATTATGAAACAAAAATATTTAATTTTTGAAGTCAATACTTTGCTTTATCTGATCCTCCCTCATTCGCATTGCTAAAGGATCCCTTTGGATACGAAGATCAGTCCCCATCATTATACGATACTCCCGATCAGTTTGATGGCAAAACATTTCAATTAGTTGAGCATTTTCATCTTCCCCTGTCTCTTCAAAATACTTCTGAATAGCTTCACGAGATGTGTCCCTTTTCCATGCTTTCACCCATTCTGAATAGTATGCAATTGGACCATCTCTTTCCAGTCTATCTTGCTCAGCCTGAAGCCTGCAAAAATCAGGAGTTTTTTCAGTTTCAATTGCGAGTCAAAATGCTACAGTAAGCTTTAGTAATCAACATTTTGCTGGTTTAAAGCAACTATTACAAAAAAAATGAAGCAGGAATTTCTCGTGACTATTTATGTGCAAGTGATTTTGAGTTTTAAAATTAATTTTGATATATGAATTTTACAATTATGGGTAATTAAATTTAACTCTATACAATCATGCTTAAGCACACTAAAACCCAACAAAGCTAGAGTAGGTTTTCTCTTTCTTTTTTCTTGAATCTGACTCTGCTTTTATTATTAGAGGGGGAAGAGGCACTATGTGCCTCCACATATTTATTTAGAAAGTAAAAAATAAAAAATAAAAGAAAAAGAGTTCATTTTTCTGTTGAGTGGTTAAGGAATAAAAAAAAAAGTTACAACTTACGTTTTTTTTAATGGGTGGTTAAAGTTCATAGTTCATTATTTAAGTTCATAGTTCATTATTAAAAAAGTGGAAACCAAAAGAGGGAATATCTCCTTTATATATTTTTATAGATTACCTTTTAAAAATAAAAATACAGCAAATCCTGTATTCTCTTTACCTTTTGAAAAAATACATCTCGAAAGAGTCTAACATTCACATAACTGGATAATTCTATCGCTATCTTTTGAGTGCCCTGAATACTGTCACTCACCCAGTAGACCTGTTTTAACAAGGAAGCAGAAATCAAGCTTCCACCTTTTAAATAGATGAAGCATATTGACTGTTTTTTAAGTCAGTTTATTACATAATGCACCCTTAAATGAAAAGGCTTAAACAAACTTGTAGCAGCATGTGTTTGGTAAGGACCGCAAAAACTTTTTCAGGTTACTCTCCTTAAAGTTAATTCAAGGTGTGTATTGTGTCAGGTAGTCTTCTTAGCATACAAAGGTTATTCTCATGCATTTTCTCAGTCCTTTCAGAACTTTGTCAATCTTCAAGCGACTGTTGTTTAACCTTTCTATTTAGTTTATTGCTTGCAGTTCTTATACATCATACATTCAGAATGCACCAAAAATAACACCCCTTTTATTTTTAGGCTTATCAGACCTATCAGCATTAGGCAAGAATACCTTTCTTCTTTATAAATTTCACGCCTTGCTCTGTAAAGAGCAGTTTCAGCTAATGTTGGGTGTTCACCGTGAAGCTTTATTTGCCCAGTTTCTGCCATAGCTTTCAGGAAAACCTGAAAAATGGTAGAAAAGTTCAGACTCAAGAAGTAAGACTTAATTATCAAAAATGGAATTTCTGACTTCAAATAAAACTATCAGAGATGGGGACTGAGTGCATCTTACAAGAAAAATGATTTTACAGCCCAAATTCCTGAGCCTATTTAGTTGTTATTGTTAACCAGATTTCCAAAAAGGAAAAGAAAAAATGAACTGGCCACATGACCCTTTAATCCGTAAATTTATCATGGTGAATTAATCCATATATAAAACAAATTCCAGTCATAAGCCATAAAACCAACAAACACACTAACCGTTTCAACATCCGGTTTCCTCCTCTGCCACCTGGACCATTGTTCTTTCTCCGGCTGTCTCCAATTCCACCACAGCTCGTCATTCGAAAGCGTTCCCTCTATCGGCTTATTAACCTTTGGATCAACAAAGGGATGAGGAAGTCCAAGTCTCTTATCCATCTCATATTCACTCAACACTTCCTCCTCAGGTTCAGACTGATAAACAACAAAGTCAGACAAATCATCCTGAGAGTCTTCCACAGAGTCAACCAAAACCTCAGTGGAACCGGAGGCAGTGGATTCAACAACTGGCTGAGAGGAAGCAGCAGCAGCAGCAGCATGAACTGATGTCTTGTAATTCTTCCTCCTACTTCCAGGCTTGGCTCCATAAGATGGAGAGGTTGATGATTCAGCAGTTGGAGCAGGTGCCCTAGCAGCCCTCACACGGCTAGCAGTTCCCTCAGGCCAATACTCCTGACTAGGAATACTCGCTCGGGCGCCGGAAGCCGGCTCCAGCTGCCCGGAGGTGGAGTCCATGTAACTGTAATAGGGTGGACGCTCAACTGATACATGCTCAATGTGTTCATCATCTTTCTTTTCACACTTTATGCAGCTATATGAAGGAACCCTCTTTCTACAACTGCTCAAACTAACTCCACGTTGCAAAATACCAGCACCAACCAGATATGATGATGGTGTCTACAAGGTTTCAAGTTTCAACCAATGTATGATGCAAATTAGCTCCATTTCACATACAATAAAGGCATATAATGTAAATGGGACAAAGAAAAATGTGTAATTCGTCACCTCAATCACTTAAAAATTGATTTTTTTTGTTTTTTTGTTTCAATAGTATAAAAAGTAAAGTGGAGATAAGGTATGAAGTTGAAGTTAGAAGGATAACCTGGAAGTGATTGAAGGACAAGTTGGGGAGGAAATTGGAGTGAATGGAAGCCATAATCTCCCACCGAAATCTGGGTTTCGACCAAATTCAAACGGCGTCGTAATGATAAGAATAAAATTGGGAAAACAGAACTGAGACAGTGTCTCGCTTATGCTACCACTGACACTGTCATAGTGATCGAGTTCCTTATCATTTTTCCTCGTCTTCCGTCGTATCACGTTTCTTCTAAAATGCTACATTTTATTGTGTTATGTTTTGGTACTAAATAAGAAGTTAAAACGTTAAAATTGTGACTAAATTTTGGGGATTAGTCTCGAAATCTTCTAGGGATATATCAAAATTTCACCGTAGAACCAAAGTTCGAACAACAATGATACATAAAATACAATAAAATTGTAAAGCTTTTATGATAAAATATTATTAATACATTTTTCTGATTTTTATAAATTTTAATGTAAGTTTTAATAAGAATATGTTATTTATTCATACCCTAATTAGTAGTTTTTATACAATCTTAACTTAAAATAATTCTTAATTATTTTTCTTTGTTTAGAATATTAGACTTATTTTTAAATCACTAAATGAATAGGAGAATAAAGTAATATGACTTCATCTCTCAGATTTTTAGTTTTTACAAATTCGTATAAGTGTTGAACTATTTAAATTAATAAATTTGAATCATACTATGTAAAAAAAAAAAATATCACAACAACAAATTATAAAAAAAATATAATATAAATCACAAGTTTGTGTTAAATAACTATGATATAACCCTAATATAAAAGTTATATTGTATTGTTGAATTTATTGTGAACATTTGTATTTTTATTAAAAATTTAAAATTATCATAACTTGTGTTTTATAATTTAGATTGAGGTGTGATTTATCATTATATTTAATATTATATTTATTTTGTATTTGGATTTTATTTAATTTAAGGGTTTAATTAAAATACATTATTAGTAATGATATTATCCAATTATAGATTGTTATATATATATATATATATATATA